AGACTCTCCGGCGAGCGCGAGACGATGGCCGCGTCGTCAGCGTAGAGCATGGCCCACAAGGCCTCCGCGTCCGTCACCACCGTCGTCTTCCTCCCCGCCGACCTGCCCTTCTTGCCCGTGTACTCCACTTGTGTCCCGATCTTGACCATGTCCGCCGTCACCTTGGGGTCCTTGTCGAACTCGGCCACGGCGACCATGAGCATCGCGGCAAAGAACAAGTTGAACAGCAGCGGGGCCAGATTGCATCCCTGTCGGAGGCCTTGACCCACGTCGAACCATTCCGAGTACTGCCCGTCGTCCGTTCGGACGCGCGCCCTCGTGCCCTCGTGGAAGTGGCGAATGACTGCCAGCATCGGAGGCACACCGAAGCGTCGGAGCACGTCCCACAGTAGGTTTCGGTCCACCGAATCGTATGCCTTGGTGAGGTCGACGAAGCGAGCGAACACCGCAGTACTCTTCTTCCTCGCGAGCTCATGGAGCCGCTGGATGGCGAACAGCATGTCGAGCGTCGACCTGTTTTGTACCCCCGTGACCACCCACGGAGGTTGCCGTGCCCACCTGCGGTATGATGTCTGTCTGGGTACTATGTTTACCCAGAGGACCGATGCAGATGATATATATCCTTGATAATTACACACACGTGCTCGTCCAGCACGGACCGAACAGTACAGGTCCTGTTTCAGTGAACACAAGCGCGGGCTCTCACGAGCGGGCCGTACTTGGACCCCCAACAGTATACCCCCCGCACACATGTTCTCTGTAGATCGGATCTTGTATCCAAGAACCCCAAACAGCCCCCCTGCTTGATACAATATACGATCTGGAAGTCCAAGGTGGATAATCTTCCAACCAATACAAAAACACAAATAACCACTCGAGAAACATCCTCTACAAAACTGGTTACGCATTTAACGCAAAGCGTCTCCATCAGTTTATCCATGAACCCCATGTATTGTCAAACCGTCAACACAAAAGAATCACCCTCGAAAGAGTACCCAACAAATATCTGCGCTACATCAGAAAAGCGTCAGAACGGTGACGGACAAGTCTGGAAAAACAGTTTCAAAAGAGTTGACACAGCAACTTCAAACAGCACAAAGTTTCAACTTCTTGACCAATTAAAACAAGCATTCGGAAAGCACAAAGGCCCCACCCATTACTCGTCAAAACATGTCAAACCCTTCCTCCAATAAAGCATCAAAGGACCAAATCCTAAACAGAGTGTACATGGTATCGGTGCCTCAGCTGTTGTCCAAGAGACGATAGAAATATAAGCAAATACATGTATCCATGCAAACAGCCCCCCCTGCTGCAACATCTCACGAAACAGGCAAATTTTGTGCCACCCTTCTCTCAATACCAAGATCGATACGTAACAGCCCCCCATCTGGAATATTTCCCCGAAACATACATACAGATCTGCCTGCGTCTTCTTCCCCTCCTATTCAACCATCAGAAGATCTCAAAACATCAAAGTGTACGAAACAGCCCCCCAGCTGAAACATGCCCTGCATACATATGAAAAACACATAGCATTCGCTGGTGTTGCGTCTGGAATCATGACAACATATTTCCTCCCCCCCTGATTCTTGACGCAAAACACAGCAGAACGAAGAACCCGCCAAGAAAATCATAACGAAGCAAATCCAACTTGAACAGAACTCGACGCAAGCACTCTGCTCTGCTGGTACTGCGGCTAGAAACATGGTACACAAATCCCCCCCCCCATGGTTCTTGACATCAGTACAAACAGCTGGGTTCAACAATTATCAGTGAATTTCGCATGGTATACAAAAATGGGCCAAAATACATTAAGTCAAAGCTCCGAAAAAGAAAACAACTCAAACACGAACAAGAATGCCGTTCACATCAACGCATTGTCTCTCGGAGGCGACTCCTGGATAAATTTCTCGTCTTCTGCGCAACGGGAGGGATGCGGTCGACATGGAACAAAATAACAAAAAACAGAAACCATAAAGAAGAAAACAACGTGAAGTTCACATACCAATACCTGCACGAAAAACATCCGAAGTCGGGAACATTTCACATGGTCTCCATTTTGGCGCAAATACGGTGAGGTGGTCGTTGCCACCGTTTCCTCGCCCTACTCGGTCGACTCGAGGGTGTCCACCGGAGCCATATTTTCGTCTTACGCTTCGCTGCTTTTCCCCAAATTGCGCCGCGCCCGCCCCGCATGAGCTTGCGCGTACGTCGCCGGGGCTCGCTGCAGGTGTGGCGCTGAGGGAGGCACGGGAGGGGTGGGCGGGGGGGAAACAGACAAGGGTAAACTCTCCCCCCGCTCGCGTGCCCTCTCACCTCCGCTCAAACTGCTGCCGTTGCCGTTGGCGCCGCTCCCGCCGTCGCTGCTGCGGAATCCGCCGCCACCGCCACCGCTGCTGCTGCTGCGGCCGCTACTACCGTCACCGCCGTCGCCGTTGCCACCGCCCCCGGAGCTCTGGCCGAGGCCACGAGTCATGTCGCGGCGCGTCCTGCTGTCGCCGCTCCTGATCATGGTGTTGTCGGCAAAGGGGCTCGGCCGAAGCCGTCCGCGCCGCCGCCGCTCCCGATGATGGTGCTGTCGGCGACGGGGCTCTGACCACAGCGTCCGTGCCGTCGCCGCCGCCGCCGCTCCCGGTGGTGCTGCTTGATGCGAAGCATCACCCCCCGGCATGTGCCCATGCATCTCTACCTCGATTGAACGGGAGGTTTTTTGTTGTTCCATGTCGACCGCATCCCTCCCGTTGCGCAGAAGACGAGAAATTCATCCAGGAGTCGCCTCCGAGAGACAATGCGTTGATGTGAACGGCATTCTTGTTCGTGTTTGAGTTGTTTATTTTTTTTAGCTTTGACTTGTTGTATTTTGGCCCATTTTTGTATACCATGCGAAATTCACTGATAACTGTTGAACTCAGCTGTTTGTACTGATGTCAAGAACCATGGGGGGGGGGATTTGTGTACCATGTTTCTAGCCGCAGTACCAGCAGAGCAGAGTGCTTGCGTCGAGTTCTGTTCAAGTTGGATTTGTTTCGTTATGATTTTCTTGGCGGGTTCTTCGTTCTGCTGTGTTTTGCGTCAAGAATCAGGGGGGGAGGAAATATGTTGTCATGATTCCAGACGCAACACCAGCGAATGCTATGTGTTTTTCATATGTATGCAGGGCATGTTTCAGCTGGGGGGCTGTTTCGTACACTTTGATGTTTTGAGATCTTCTGATGGTTGAATAGGAGGGGAAGAAGACGCAGGCAGATCTGTATGTATGTTTCGGGGAAATATTCCAGATGGGGGGCTGTTACGTATCGATCTTGGTATTGAGAGAAGGGTGGCACAAAATTTGCCTGTTTCGTGAGATGTTGCAGCAGGGGGGGCTGTTTGCATGGATACATGTATTTGCTTATATTTCTATCGTCTCTTGGACAACAGCTGAGGCACCGATACCATGTACACTCTGTTTAGGATTTGGTCCTTTGATGCTTTATTGGAGGAAGGGTTTGACATGTTTTGACGAGTAATGGGTGGGGCCTTTGTGCTTTCCGAATGCTTGTTTTAATTGGTCAAGAAGTTGAAACTTTGTGCTGTTTGAAGTTGCTGTGTCAACTCTTTTGAAACTGTTTTTCCAGACTTGTCCGTCACCGTTCTGACGCTTTTCTGATGTAGCGCAGATATTTGTTGGGTACTCTTTCGAGGGTGATTCTTTTGTGTTGACGGTTTGACAATACATGGGGTTCATGGATAAACTGATGGAGACGCTTTGCGTTAAATGCGTAACCAGTTTTGTAGAGGATGTTTCTCGAGTGGTTATTTGTGTTTTTGTATTGGTTGGAAGATTATCCACCTTGGACTTCCAGATCGTATAT